GTTTCTTTTATACAATATGAAATGGTTACAATACCATAGTATTTTTTAGAATAAGTTAAACATCAAGACATATGGCAATAGCATTGTACTATTCTTTCTACATACATATGAATTCCTGAATTTTAGTCTATTTCTATTCAGTCACAAAAATGAAAAAAGACTAAGATCCAGTTATACTGGAAAACTAGACTAGTTCTAGAAACCACAAATACTGTAAGCACTTTGGTATAATATGTACAGATTGTGTTGTCAATGTCATGCTCGCATACTAGAATTGATCAACAGATTTCCACTGGTGGAATAAAGTAAAAAAGTACTGCAAAACTTGCTTTCTTATTTCTTTTCCTCTTTGCAAATGACTGAAAAAGGACACACCACAAGTACACACACAGCATTTGTATGATGTGACTACAAATTAAATATTAAAGTGTTTTTAAATACAATGCAAGGCCAGTCTTAAGTGCATAGAACGTAATGCAGAATACTGTTAATTACAGGGGCAACCTCAAAGATATGAAACATTTTAACAGATATTGAACAAATTTCTTATTAAAAAAAAAAAAAGAGGTGTGAATGAGAATAAGTATTCTTCTATAGTTGCAAAGATCAACACAAGTTATCCCCCACTGGTAAGAGAAAATAATTGCTGCATCATAGAAGATGTATCTATCCACTCCATCCACTTTCTCTCAGAGGCTTAGAATTGCACCCTCAAACTCCTAAGCAGTTTGGATATTTAGATGGGGATTTTTCCTTTTTTTTTTTTTTTTTCCATATTTTTCACAAAAATTTTCTCTTTCTGAAAGTAGAACTCAAAAAGTGCATTTTAAATTAAAGGGCTTACTGTTCCCCTTAGTTTGTGGATGCATTTGCTATAGTTTAGAAATTTTAGTTTAACTTATTCATTCTTTCTACCACTACAATTTATCAGAATGTCTCATATTTATTCAGGCTATTCTGCCAAAAAGTTAAGTAGCCCCTTTTCCTGCAAAGAAAATGGTATTAAATTCTAAGAAACCCAAAATACTGTAATATTTACTGAAGTGAATTGCAAACTTAAAGAGTAAGGACTGCAGGATTTTCAGAGGATTTGGACTTTATGCAGTTTTCCCAAATTTGTATTTTCACCTTTGGATTTTGGGGTATAGCTAAGTACATATATTCTCTTCTACTAACACTGGCAAGTCAACTTCAGACTAAGGTCTCAGGAATGAAATGGCAGCTTCAAAATTCTCAACCCAACCAGAGGAAACTTACCCCAATCATTACTCATTTCTTACACAACACAAAACCCCATTTAACATGTAAACACAAGTAATGATGGTTCTCATTTGACACTCCTATTGTGGCAAGTAATACTTCACAGGTATCAGAAACACTTTAATTAATGTCTCCCTATTTCCCCCCTTTCTAAGATGTCTTCTTTTCCTTACAGAAGTTTTAGCTGTTCAACATCAAACAATTGCACAAAAACTACAGCAGCAAGCTTTGCAAACTGACACTGCTGGAGAGCACACACAGGAGAAAAGAACTTGTGGTTGTTGAGTGAGCTAGAAGTCAAATGAGCTTAAATAAAACTAATGTTAACACATTCCTTAATTGAAATGATTAATTCTTAGCAGAAATAAATTAAGATCAGTCTGATCTTACTGTAAGCTAGTTGGTGACCCAGCCAGACTTTTGTGCAGATTGGGGTTTTGACTGTGCCTGTTCCGACTGCGAACAGATGAAAACATTGTGTTGCAACCTGGGACTTTGCATTTGTGGAGCTGGCGGAGATGCACAGTTTTGTAATGAGCCCTGAAAGTTCCTTTATTACTGTATGTTTTTTGACATATATGACAAGTTATTGGCAAACTGGAAGGTAAGTTTATAAAGTTTTGATTAGCTTTCTCAATTAGAGTACAGTCTTGGTAGAGTTCATCACTGGGCATTAGGCTGGGTCCTTCACAGCTTTCATCACTATCATCCAAGGGCATGGTGCATATTTCACTTCCTCCATCAGAATCCCAAGAAGAATGAGCACTGCTTTCAGATTTAACGCTGGAAGTAGTGCTTAGATCCAGAACAGCTCCATCATTTAATGGATCATATCCATAACTCTCAGAACAGGGTTCTGCAATTTTGCTCATTGGAAAAATGTAGCTGCCTGTTCTGTTCATTCCTTTGAAGATTACAGAAGTACGTCCAACGTGTTGTTTTAAAGAGACATCTTGGCAAAACTCCTTAGCCATGTCTTTCAAGAGGTATGTTGCATTGAAATGGTTGTTGAATTCCAGTGTATCTTTAGTCAGAAGTTTATGATGAAGATTTAGGTTTGAACTATGTCTAGAAGAACAAAGACAAGCTTAGCAAGAAAGTGTTTCACCTCACTTAGCAGCTGTTTCATAATGATCATAAACAAAGAAAGGGAAAAATCAATATTTAGTAGCATGCATGAATTGTATACTTCAGATTTGACCACCTACTACACTGGGAGTGCACATGGACAATTTACACATGTGAGTGGGTTTCTGAACTTGCTTGCACTGGCAAATTCCATGCAATAACTCTACAGCAATCACCTGCATTGGGGGTAGCTGCCTGCTCTGCTAGATCTAGTGCTAAGTCTAAAAGAGGTGGGGGACAGACCAGAAACCTGTAAACTGAACTGAGATCAGAGAATGGACTGAGGTGGGTAAGAAACAAGATTCTTTCCCAATGGACAAAGCAGGAAAGGACTGACATCTGAATCTGCAAAAAATATTGATGATCTCATGTCCTGCAACCATGTCCAGGATGCAGCTGTACACATCAGTACAGAGCCTTTTCTTGACAGGAGTTTCCTTGAAAAAGGAAAATTGAATTATATGCAACTGGCAGTTTTCAAATGGGCATCTCTGGGTTCAGTTTAAAACCACCAAAGCATACAGAATCACTGCTCCTCATTGAATATTATCAATCTTCTCACTGGGAACTTACAGGCTCTGTCTAGAAGGCTGTTTATTGTAATACAAACAAAACATTTGTCTTTCTCCTTGCCCTCATGGTTTAAACAGAACCATGAATTGTTCAAAAAGGCACACAAATATTTAGCACTTGTAGTCACACTACTCTATGTTAAAGTCTAGAAACTTCTGCAAAGTTGCTACAAATAACTATTGTTTTGTACAAAGCTTACAAAGCTTGTAAAATGTCTTCTGAGCTCACTTGCCTTTTTTTTTTTTTTTAGCCCATCTTCCAAAAGCACCTATGTGAAAACTTATCTCAACATATTGGTGTGGGAAGGAATTTGTGGCATGTGAATGCAAATCTTACTGCTGGCCTTCTTTCCTGTGGCCCATATCGCACTTACAGTGCAGAGGAATTCACATCTGGAAAGATGCAGGCAGCAGGGTATGAAGCCCTGCCAGCAGCAGATGAATCTGTGCATCTCAGATGCAGCAGCCAGTCCTCAGAGACCAGCTCATCCTCTCTGGATTGCATCAGCTGGCTCCAGCACTCCTAGCAGATTACAGACAATCTAAACCTTGTGTCACTCTGAACTACTATCCAGGCATGGATATCCCTGCAGCCAAAAGCTGCTCTAACACCCCTACACACACTTGGGAAACTTGTAACACTTCGCTGCACTTGAATAGCTTTGTTACCTATCTGACCACTTCAAATACATTACTGATGGTCAACAACAAAACCTTGGCTCTCGTTGCTCAGTTAATGTGCATAATAGGCCGAAATAAAATGAATTACAGCAATACAGTACTGAAATGAACATTAAACTGAATCAAGCTCATGCCTTAGTTTAGAAATTAGTATTTAATCTCACAGAAAAGCACTACTGATATGGGTAAACAGCAGATAGTGTTAGACTACCACTGCACAAGGTTAATTTTGGGCTGACAAAGACTAATCTTGCTTTTCTTATGGGCTTTTTCTCACCAGTCTGTTCCAAATCCTTGAGTAAAGAAAGGACAAGGGCAAGTGAAGATTTCCTAAAATGACCTCATTGCTTTTTCTTTAAAAACACTGTATACATTAAAATATATATGAAACTACATATTAAACACGTAAGTCCACACATGCATCTACTGGAAAATTGCTGAATTCATACCCTTATGGCCTTCCCTTTATGTACTAAAGTATTCTTTCAACTACTGCAGCCTTTATCAGTTATGAAATTTTCATAGCTTTATTTAATACCTTGTAGTCTTGTGGAAAGGAAATGTTTCTTTCAATGGATTTTCATTTCAAGCATGTTCTGATAAGTTATCATACCTGTTATACGAGGATACACAGAAAATATTTGTAGGCTCCATTCCTCAAACACTCATTTTAATTTCAAATTAGGCTCCATTGTGATGGTAAAATAAATACAATTTTGTTTATGATTTTCTTACCTGTCTCGACTTCTACGAGAAGGGAAAGCAGCATTACAGCCCTCAACTGTGCAAATATGCATTTCTTTGAGATGTACATTTTTGAAATGCATTTTTACACTGTAAGGGTTTTTAAAAGTCTTCTTACAGATGTCACAATGAAAGCGGCTTTCTTCCTTCTGAATCCCTAGTGCATGTTGACTGACATGATCCATATCTTTAGAGTCTTCAAAACAAGGAATGGCAGCACCCCTGTTTGACAAAGTGCTGAAAAAGCCCCCGGTCAGCAAGTGGTGTTGCAATTCAGGGCAGTCATTTTTAGGAATCCTGTGCTTTGACTGCTCGTTAATATACATGGGGGGTTCAGTCACTGGTTTTATAACATCACTGTGGTGGTGTTTTGGATCTTCATATATAATCTCATGGGAAACTATTTTTAATGGTTGGTTTTCTTCTGGTTTAACCTCTTTCTCACAGTGTTGCAATTCATTCTCAGAGATATCCTCGATGTATTTGTTATTTGGTGCAAAGACAGATTCAAAATACTTTGGGCCCTCTACCCCAGAGAGAGATTTCCATGAATTACCTGAATGGGGGTGCTTTTCCACCCTGTCGGTCACCCGCTTCTCTATCTTATGCTCACAGGTCTCAAGCTCTCCATCGCTTACCCCCTGCAGGCGTGAATCATCTTCAGAACTGGCAACATCGCTACTTTCATTGGGTGTCTCAACAGCTTCTTTCTCTATCTTAATGGGCATACTGGACTTACGAGACTTCTTCTTGGGGAGCATGTCAAATGGCAATTCATTGGAAACAAGCTGCTCTGGTATGGAGGATGAAACAAGAGGCAGAGAAGGAAGAGTACCTGGAGTATTGGCAAGCTCAGCTGGTGTGACTGGACTACGGTAAAAAGGAAGAACGGGCTGTACTGTCTTCAGGTTTGGAAAGAGGACACCATTATGTCCAATACTGGAAAATCCCACCTGGCCTTTTGAATCTGTACAAGAGCTGGCATAGTTGGAAATAGTTCTGCTATCCGGAGTTAAAATTGTGAATTCTGTCCTTTTACTATCTCCAGGTCCAGCAATGGTCAAACCATTTCTTAGATCTTTATCCCTGTTATTTCTGTTCATTGGCATATGGAGTCTGGGGTTAGGATTTGCACTATGTCGATTTCGACTACGCAATGAGCTAAACACCATATTGCAGCCCTCAATGGTGCATTTGTGCTTTATCTTCAGATGAACAGCATTGTAATGTATTTTCAAAGTACCTTTATCGTAAAATGTTTTTTCACATGCAGTGCAGAAGACACGCCCTTTCCTTGGCCCAGCATTCTTTTCAACAGATTTCATTTTGTTTTCTGGTGATAGTGCTGTCATTTCAAGCTTGGCTGCTGTATTATGTGAACTGGAATCACTTAAAAGGGCATCATCTTCTGTTTTAGTGATATCTGGACCATTTATGCTCCTCTCATTTTCAACCTGAAATGGTGCAGAACTAGAAGTTAAGAAACTGTTTTCAGAAAATGGTATCTGAAGATCTTGTTTGGTTTCGTTGCTATGGTCTTGACCTTGCTCAATCAAATGTCTTTCTGGTGGTGAACCTATCAAAGGTGGAGGCACTGGACTGAAAAACTGAAATGGCAGCATGAAAGCCATACTATTTACAATATTCTCAAAGGGATGAATGCTGGTGGGACTCATTTTGTCCAAGGAAGCAGAAAAATTAGGACTGTGTGGGTTGCAGCTCTCAATGAATGCCCTAATATCCAAATTGGCAGTTGGTGGTGGTATTATGATGGACTGCCCTTCTTTCTCTTGAATTGCCATTAGCTCTACAATGGACTTAGTTTCTCCAAAGCGAAGGAACTGCTGCAAAGTAGCCAGTTCTTCTTCAGTGGTCATTATGCTCCAGTGATCCAACACCTTTCCTGAAGCATCCTAAAGCAAAAAATATTTAAATGCGTTAGACATTAGTTAAGGCAAACAAAAAACACTTCCCCTCAAATCTCTCATGTTTTTCAGGGACTAAAATTTATTCTCTAGCAAAAAATCAAAAACACTCCATTTAATGACATTAATGTGAATTCTGTGATAATTTCTTCCAAATTTTATCACATTGGTGATATTATTTCTTCCTGAACTGACAGTAATAGTTTCCAATAAACTATTTTTTTTGCACAAAAATTAAGACACGTTATTTGAACAACAGATAGTATCCTGTAAGCACAGACAGGAGAGATGGAGCAATCAGACCAAGATTTAGCTCCTCATTTAAGTCAAGTATTCTTTCATTGCAAGTTTAATAATCTTCCAAGCAACTAAGATCAGAGAACAAATGAACCTATATTGATCTATTGCCAGTTTTCACAGAGCACAGCTGTAATTACACTAGTGTTGGAGTTCTTTCAAACTCTAGCTATGCCTAACTTTTCCCAATAACTACAATAAATATTTTATCACAGAACATGTATTTGATGGCCTACTGAGATTTTTCACAGTGCATGTAAGAGTTTCTAAGATGATGAAGAACGTAACATTATAAATTTTTCATGTGATAGAGGTTCAAGGTAATTGATTCCATATTTTTAATCCTAACACTAAAAAGCAAGATTATCAAGACCATTAAATATTGATTCATGTCATAATGTAAGATCATAATGTTACTTTACATAAAAGGTAACTTCCACAGCAGCAAGGACTAACATCAGTGTAAGCACATGGGGCCAAATACACTCTGGCTGCAGCTCCAGTAAGGTCGATAGCACTACCAGAGATGAATATTGTCCCTGGTGTTTTAAATAATGGTAAGTTTATTTCTTGATGTATTATTCTGCTGTATAAAAGCAAACTCACTGTTTAAACAATACTGGAACAAGTTCTAAAGCCTTTACATTACCAGTAACTTTTGATCTTTATTTTTTGCTTACCTTTGTTGTTAGATTTGAGCAAATAGAAAGATTTCAATTAAGTCCAACTAAGAAATAAACCAATCACTAGAAATCCACCTTTTCTTTTCTGGCATTAAGCTTGCACAGGTTTATTACTGCCTTTCACATGTGCCACACTGTTAACACATTGTGAACCACTGAGAAGATTAAGATAGAAAACTACTTAACTGTCATATTTCTATTTCACATGCCCCTCTAAATACCTGTAGCACATATCCACGTATATAATCCTGCAGTGTCCAATCCAGAGCATGGAGAATCTGTATCACCTCTTCCTGCTTCAGAACACTGAATAGCCGATCGAGCAGAATTTTAAGGCGCACGGGAATGGCTTGGGTTCCGTACAACATGAGGCTACTGATATCAAAGACAACATTGGATTGAACTATTTCTACTTGGCTTGATGGGTAGAGGTTTGGAATCCTTAGTTTGCTCAGGGCTGAAAATAAAAATCACAAAATGTAAATAAACTGGAGTCCTGAGAAAATGAAATGCAATTAATATTGGGGTGGGGGTTGAGGAGTGACACGAAAAGCATGTAATAGTTATGAGGATCCTAAATGGTTTTCTATAGATTGTAAAAACAGGTATTACCATGTGCTACCCATCCATGCCGGCACTGGTCACATTGTCGCTGATTTATTTTCCCAGGTTTGAAACACTGACAACTACAGTTCACGAGAGTGCACCGGATAGCCTGGAGATCAATGGAAAGCATGATAGATAACATATAAGCGCCATTCAGAGTGTGCAGATTATACATCTACAGTATACATAAAATCCATATGAAGACAGAATTAACATACCAACACAGACCTATCAATGTGCAATGTAAGTAATCCAGGCAAAGCCTGAGTTATACAAGGCTACCTCTGCCTGGAAGACTCAAGTCACAGCAGAAACACTACAGTGATATGGAAGCAGAATATTTAACAATATACATAGGAACACTTCCGTGGATTTATTTAGGTTGAAGCACCTTCATAACAATTATTGTTATAAATTATGAATTCATCTAAGCTATGATCCTCATGCAAACAAAGCTGTACAGATGAAAGACCCCCTCTCTTGCAGTTTTGCTGGCACTCCATACTGCAATATAGCATGTTCTAATGAGCAATGCATCAGCTCTGCACAGATGCCATGCCCTACACACCTAGAATTCACATGGAATATTTATATTCTGTCAAAGACACAGGAGTTCAATAATGTTCCTCAGTAACAAAGTTCACCAAAAAGTACTCTAACTCTTCAAAGACTAAACAATCACATTTTGAAAGCAAAATAGAGCAGACAGAACACCAGTTGCACTGTTCAATTTGTACATCGCTTTACCCTCACCAAGGTCATCTATAATACAAATCAAATTAGTATTCAGATGTCCCTAATCAATGGGGTGATACAAACTTTTTCCTGGAATATATGATTTCTTCTGTATGTGCCCATCTGCTGGACAAGGCAAACAGACAACTTGGAGGTCCTAGTTAAAGCTCCAGAGGGATTTACTACGGAGCAAAGCTTTTGCAGGATTCTACACTGCTTGGATCTGGCACTGAGAATAGCTCCTGTATAAACAGAATATTTACTGAGGGAGGGAAAGCAAATATGTGCAGAAAGTCTTCACTGGAATAATAAAGAAAAAGAGTTAGATCATGCAATTGTAAAATGTAGGCATTTTTCTGCTTTTAAATTAATATTACCTCTGCTAAAGTTTTATGCAAAATGGTGACTTCCACTCCTGAAAATACCCACAAGCAAAGTAAGATAAGATTTGAAGAAAAAGGGAAGCCGTGGCATTCCCACACTGGCACTTCAGAAAACATACAAGGAAGCCTGATTGTCCAAAAACTTCCTATGAAAGATGGATGCAAGAAACACTTAAAAGTACATTGCAGAAAGTTAATTCACTGAGATTTACAATGGGCATTTCTTTAGACTTGCAGCCTCTGGCTGACTCAGGGCAGAAGAGGACACTGCATACAAAAGGTTACTACAAACAAGCATGTTCATGACATTTGGATGTCTAGTGCTTCACAGTAATGGATTTGGAGTGAGATTTTAAATCCATGAGTTACCTTACATGCACATCTCCAAACTGCAGTGACTTGATGCTGAGATTTGCCTGTATTTGAAGAATTGGAACAAGTGGCAACAGGGCTCTTGAAATCTCTGAATCACTTTGCCTTTAATCTTTTAAAGGAGCCGCTGCAAAATCCTGTGTTCTTGAGGAAAGCTCTGTGCTCCCCATAAAGTCATAAAATACACATCAATACCCTATGCAGCATTGCTTCATTTTAATGGAGGATGTATTCTCACTTAGAAGCTAAAATACTTCCATATAAAAAGCTATAAATTTCTTATGGAAAGGTTGGGGGAAGAAAATGTGTAGTTGACTGGATTCATTTCTACCACAAGATATCAAACAATAATGCAGATTGAGTCTTCTGCCTCTCTGCATACATAATATTCTGTGACTTGCCTGGACTGAAGCCCTTCCACAGGCAACCCTGCTAGGTTCAGTAAGGTGCAGTGCATTCCATAAACGCATCTTGTACATTTCCTTCAGACAAAATTACAAAAGAGTACTTCCTTTTTCTGCAAGAAGTAACAGAAATCTGCACAATGAAAAAAGCTGTCAGGATGATAAGTTAATTGAGATTTCAACATTTTTTTCATTCCTTTTCCTTTGGACACGTTCCACAAATCACTGACCCTTAAAACTACCTTTTCTATTTAATTTGTGTACTTGGACAAGAGAGATACACCACACCAAATTTTGCATTTCATAGCTTTCTGTAAGAACATTCTTCTATATGGTACATGTGTTTATTTTGCTTTCCTGTGTATGTGTAGAAGACTGCATACACCAAAACAGGAACAAGTAAAAGGAGGGCATTTTGTTTTACATATATGAAAGCAGCTGTTATAAAGGGAGTAGAGTTCTCCCTTTATTCTAAATATTGAACTGAACCTCTCTCAAGTCACATTATTGCTTCTGCAAACTAGAAGGAGTTAGCTTGCACCCTGCTAACACCCTCGGATCAGGGATCTCTGCTGACTTAAAAAATTACTTGAAAGAATCCCTAAGAAGAAACAATGGTGATTTTTTTGGTTTTTAGTATTTCCCTTCATTTGTGCTTGTCACAGCCTGTTTCTCCTAAAGCTTTTATAGCAACATGTATAATAATATATAGTCACAGAATATATAACAAAGCAAAATTAACTTCTGAAATAATCAGTGAATAACAATTTAAATTGTCACTGTTCAACTTAAAAAGGTATTTGTACGATATGCACCTTGATTATCTCCCAAATTAACACATATCAGACTTTATGGAAAAGAAATTTAGCAATACTTCATGAAAATAATACCCTTGTCTTTTGCCCGTTAATCCTACTGTCCTTAATAGCCTAGTCTAAGGTACTGTAATTATATCAAGTCTTTTAATAAGCTTTATTTTCCTAACAAGTGGAATGTACACACAATTTCATTCTGCAGAACAAAGAAATAACTTTCTATATTGCATAGATGCAAAGCTTGAAAATTATAATTAAAGGATTGGAAATGTAGACGGAAATTACAGTGGAAATTTTTTAAAGTACAATCCTTTCATTCACATAATTATTTAATTTCATTTTCTAGAAACAGAAGGCAGATGGTCTAAAAAACTAAATCTTATGCTATCATCAAGTATCTTGGTATTGCTTTCCAGTCACTCTCTCCTTCACAAATGGATCTTCCCTAATCCATTATCAGACCTACTTTCTTGATTCTTTTAAAAAATAGAGTTGAAAAGACTGAGCAAAATGTTCTGTGGTTTTACCAGCATGATCATGGGAATCTGAATGCTGAACTTTAAATAAAAATGATCCCTCATTACAAGACAGACATTAACCATTAAACTGGACACTGAAAAGCATCTGACTACTAATCACTGCATCTTAACATGTGCTGCCTGCAAGTCACGCCTGCTCACATACTTATTTTGCCAGATATTGATGTGGCTTCAATTACGCTTCAAAAGTTACTGAATGTTTCTTTGCAACCCACTCACAGCCCTCACAGCTAAAGGGAAAGCCCAGGCTAATGGGACATACTCATGCTGATTCTGGCTATATAATCATGCTTGATTTCACAAAGCAAGTTTGAGGAAGTCTCCTGGGACATATGCTTACTTGCAATACACAACAGGTTTAAAGAAAAGCAGCAAGACAAGAAGGGCACGATAAGTGTATCCAATCTCATTCAGTGTTAAGAGGGTTCTGGTTTGGCAGCACTTTGGCTTGGGAAATAAATTAAGAAGCAAGGAAATACTGAAGACCTTGTCAGGACTGAGTTGGAGATCTGTGCTCATGCTGGAAAGTTGCTCTGGGTCTCTGCACGCAGCAAGTGCAGACACCAGTAACATGGAAGAGCAAGTCCCAGATTACCCTGGTGCTATTTAACAACATAAATTCACAGGTTAGCACCCTCACTTCTGGCACTTTCTGGAATTTAAGAAAAACCCTTACCGTTTTGCACAAAGTTTCTCACCACTTTAAAAACTGCTGCTTTTTTTTCAAGCTACTGCCATCACATGAAGAGCTTGAGAGTTCCCTGCTCTGCTATGAGCATTACTGACAAAATGGTGTCATTGATGCCAGGTTACAGGAATATATTTTGCAGGCAGGGCTTAGAAATTTCTATCAGTTTAAAATGCAAGTTTGAAGAAGGAATTTTAGTTAAATGAAACAAACACATGAGAGAAACTTTCATTAGATGAGCTATAGCAGATGCTGCTTTCATTGCCCTCTCTCTCTCAGGTTTCTAGCAACAAGCCGTATCTCTTGGCCATCTCATCATCAGTGGTAATCCCACTGAATATATGTAACCCACCATGGTATGTACTCTGGTGGGCACTTTCCTACTTTCCTGTAGGAAAGAAGTGGGATAAATTTGCAGAATAGACCTACAGTGGCTCCACAATAACAACATTTGTGCAGAAAGAGGCACGATTTACAGTGGGGGAAGAAATAAAATTAAACATGAGACATACATGAGGTGATTTGGACGTATTTTCTTGCTTGCTCCTTGTAAAATATTTGCAAGGGAAGTAAAGGGATAGATACCTTTACCATCTCTTAAATTAACAGGACAGCCACAGCTAACTCAAAGGCCAAATCCAAATCTGTGTGTGCCTTTCACAGACAACAGTAACTACAAATGAGTGTGAAGTTGCCCTTCTGGTTAATTTTTTTTTTTTCCTTCCCTGTTATTACTATAATCCACCAGGTTTCGTGTATTTTCAGAGTTTAAATAAATTCCTTTTTCCTCACTGACTTACATTTGATTACTTTTGTGTTTGAATCCTTTGCACAACCACTGAAAGCAGAAACAAATCAAAACCTCTTTATCATAAGCATCTCTCAGTGCCATCCTTTACCACATGATACAAATGAGCAAAGCTTTGCTTTGTCCATTTTTGT